ATTTGTCACTATATTTCTTGTGAATTTCTTATGAATTTTGCTTTTCGTTAACCATAATTTTTTTATAAAAAATAAAAAAAATTATTTCATGTTGTTCAGGGAAAAAATGTTATGAATTTGACTTTTTATTTCGTGTTGTTTAAAATTTTATTTCATATTGTTCAACTAACATCAGTGCAATCTTGGTACAAATCATGTAGTTCCATCTGCTTAGAGTTTTAATATTGGTACAAATCAAGTATCAAAACATCTCAACATCAATGCAGAAATTTTCTCATCCCTCAGTGCAAAAAATTTCTCATCTCAACACATATGCTATGAACCAGCCTGCTGCATGATGTAGTGCTTCATCTAGGTAAGGATGCCGAAGTTAGCATTCGTTTTTAAAAAAATATGTTAAAGAAATTATAAAAGTCTGGAATAAAAACCATACAAATCTTAAGAAAGTTTATAAAAAAAAATTATATAGAAGTCTTCTGAAATCTAAAGTTCCATAAAGTTCTATGAAATCTAGCACTTAAACAAAAATCTTTTTAAATGCTCTAAAATTCTAATTAAAATAATAATAATAAAAATTGCCCTACCCCTCTCTCAACGAAGGTATTAAATGCCGATAATATCGGTTTTTTGGGGGCCGATATTTTCGCAACTATCCATGGAGTTATCGTCAATATATCAATATTATCGGGGACGATAATTTCAACATTTTTATGAATGATTTGGGCAATATATCGCGATATTACATGAAAAATTTTGCAAAGCCTCCCCTGTTGCGCATAGAGGGATTCGAACCCCTCCCCCTCTATCAACAGCCACAGCGCCTTATCCATCTCGCCGAGGATGTGTTTGTGAATATATTTTCGGCGTGTAATATTTATAACGTCTTTAAAATGTCTGCAAGCTAACATTTATTATCTATGATAAATTTCGATATTGAAAAAAAAAACCAAGGGGATTCGAACCCCTCCCATTTTACTCCTTCAACACCTTAACCACCATATCACTTATGTTTTGTGAAAATATGCTAAAATATTTATATATATACATGGTTTTGTTTTGAATTCTTTTTGCAAGAAACAAATTTTCACATGAGATGAGAATGACTACTCTTCACAATATACTTACTCTACACATAGATATGATGAAGATAGTGAAAATTTTGAACCTCATAGGAACTCTATGTGGTACTAAGTCACTCATGTATCTTACCATGCAATGTATAAAGTGTAAAATATTGTAGTAATTCATTATATATAAATAATTATGGTGTGTTTAATCTTCTTTCATTAATTACTACACATTTTTTACACTTACAGTGTTTGCCAGCTCGCTATATAATCAACTTAAATCAGTTAAATCCATCATGCAATGCATTTCCTTCCAATTTTTTTTATGATAAACTAATAGATAATTGACTAAATAAACATCCTGCAAAGTTTCAATAAAAATTTCCAAGTTTTTCTTAAAATTTCCGTGGTTTTTATTCAATTTTTATCGATATCGATAATATCCCTATATTTCCATTGACATTTCTGTGTTTTTGGACTACCGATATTTCCGATATCATCGATATTTTAGACCTTGCTCTCAACTTGGCTTGTATATAAAAATAATAATAATAATAATTGCCCTGCCCCTCCTCTAACCTCCTAACCACGTGGAGTCTGTCATATGCATGCCACAGCCGGAGAGCTGACACGCCAGTAGACTTCTACTCCATCCCTTCTTCTTTGATTAAACCAAAAATAAAAGTTATTTCTTGGTTACAAGGAAGACAATAGTACAAGAAAGTAGTCTCACTAAGAGAAATGGCTCTGGGTGGTGATGGTGGTAGAAGGAAATTACAACAGCATTGATCGTCCGTGTCATTCTGGGTTTGTCTGCAAGCTTTCTCTTCTGTTTCTCAGCAGCCAATCAGCCCTGCACCAATCGAAAGTCATCGTCCCCATTGGTTCACTTGGCTTCTTCGGCTGTTTTTCCCCTTCAAGGCAATGTTTATCCTCTTTCTTTTGTTACTTTAACTGGATTGTTGCTGTTTGGCTTTGAAACTCTCCTTTTATTGATGCCATTATCAATTCTTTTTTTGGGTTTTTTCTTTTTCTTTCTTTGTTGCATTTCTATGTGCTGTTCGTGGGTCAACAGATTATGGACCCACGATTTCATGTCTAACTGCTCTGCTTTCCTCTTTCCTTTGATGCAAGGCTTTCCAATTCTCTCTGTGTTCTTGGGTTTGTTTCTTTAATTTCATTCAGATTTTTGGTAGTTTGGGTGTTCTTGGTTTGTTGAGCACTTTGATATTTCTTTTTATCCGGCATTAATTCGTTTAGTGAAAGCTCCGTTTCTACTTATCTTTTGAATACTTTACCAAATTTGATTGTTAGTGATGCATGCATATTCAACAAATTCAATCGACCCTTTTCTTCTGTTCTTTCTTTATTTAATTTGTTTCCTCTTCAGTTGTCGTATTTAATTTCCGGCACTAGTACATTTTCTTTATGTATTTCGTTTTCCCCTCAATCTTCATAGTACTTGAACATAATGAAAGAATTGAAGTTGTTCAATTTTGGTCTGTTTATTTATTATATGTTATAAAGGTTGATGCTTTTCTTTTAGCTTAATTCTTTCTAAATATGTGTATTCTTTTTATGTCTAAGATTTGATGGATACTAGGACCTGGTGTTCTGTCTTCTCATTTTGGCTGTCCAATTTTTATCTTTTCTCCCTTTTGATGTGAAGAATGACATTGCCGAAGATTTTATGGTATTACTTTTACTCTGCAGGTACTACTCTGTGTCCCTCAACATAGGCCGCCCAGCCAAGATTTTCGAACTTGATATTGACTCTGGCAGTGACCTTACCCAAGTCCAGTGTGATGCTACTTGTACGGGTTGCACCAAGGTAAAGTTTTCTATTGATAGTGAGACTAACATTCTAATGGTCATTTTCTCACACAGTGCTTGTGTCCGTCACCTGTGCATGTGCATTTGCAGCCTCGCGAGCATCTTTATAGACCCAACAATAATCTTCTGCGGTGCGAAGACCTTCTTTGCACCGCATTCCACTCACCGCATATGACCAATGAGACTATGAGGTCAAATATGCTGATCATGGATCATCTCTTGGTGTGCTGGTCAAGGAATACTGTTGTATTATTAACCGTCACAAATTAATGTGCAAACAACCAATTAAAAATACCCGCAAGTGCAAGTCACCATTTGGCCTTTGGGTGGGTATTCCATCAGGTGGTTTGATGCAGAAACGTACACACATCAGTTAAAATTATGTAAACGATCAAGCTTGAATGTTAAAACTTATAACATGTTGAATTAATGTCTTGGAACTAAACTGCCTGTTCACCTTCTAAGTCTGAGTTAATCGTATTATGTTTTCTGTTCCTGTTGTGTGCAGGTGTGGATATGATCAAAAGTATTTTGGTCCGGTCACACCTGCCACTGCCGGAGTCATTGGCCTTGGTAATGGAAAAGTCAGTATTGTGTAACAAACTAAGTCACCTAGGTCTAACAAGAAATGTTGTCGGCCACTGTGTAAGTGGGCAAGGTGGAGGATTTCTTTTCTTTGGGGCTGATCTTGTCCCTTCATCAGGAGTCATATGGACATCAATGCCTCCCAATTCCATGGGGTGAGTAGTCTCTATTTTTCCTGTGATAAAGCATTATTTCTAGTCTCTACATAATCCATGGCATTTCCATAGAGATAATAACTTAATTTTCATTTTCAGGAAACGGTACACATCTGGACCAGCAGAACTTGTGTTTAGTGGAAAGGCTACCAGTGTAAAGGGACTTAACATGATTTTTGACAGTGGGAGCTCCTGCACTTACTTCAATTCCCAAGCTTATCAGGCAATAGTTACTCTGGTGAGAAGGAAACAACAGAGAGCATTCTACTTTGGATAATTATTACTATCTTTTATAGAAAACTAACCATCAATTGGTGTGATCAGGTGAGAAATGATTTAGAAGGAAAGCCTCTAAAGGATGCAACTGAGGATCAATCCCTCCCAATCTGCTGGAAAGGCAGAAAACCATTCAAATTTGTTCGTGACGCAAAAAACTATTTTAAGCCCTTAGCACTGAGCTTTACTAATGCCAAGAATGTTCAGCTGCCATTATCACCTGAAGCTTATCTTATAGTTACAGTGAGTGCCCCTATTTTCTCTCGTTCTTCCTCTTCATTCATTTATCCCCTTCTGTGAGTATTAGAGAGAATAGAACACTTGAAAAACATACCTAACAAGATCGTCATTGTCAGAAACATGGCAATGTGTGCTTGGGGATTCTGAATGGCACTGAAGTAGGACTGGGAAATCTGAATATCATAGGAGGTAACTCATACTAACAGAACAAAAACGCTCTGATTCCCTTTTTTTATAAATTTATTTATAATTTCTTTTCTGTGATAGAATTTGATCTTTCACTTCCTTTCTATATACAGATATCACTTTGCAAGATAAAATGTTGATATATGACAATGAGAACCGGCGAATTGGATGGGCTCCTGCAAATTGCAATAAGCTTCCCAAGTCCCAAACCGTTGCCATAATTGCAAGATAAAATGTCACTTAAGCAGGAAGAAAGAAAAAAGTTCTTTTTGTCTATTGCAGAACTTACAAGGTGGCAAATGTAAGTACTGTATATCCCAATACTCAATAAGTACTTTTTTATCAATAAATTCTTGGACTAGTCTAAAGAGGACAATCTACTTCAGTAGGGATCCCTGCAAGGTGTCCCCAGTGCGATCATGAAATAGTCATGATGATAATTTAATGGCTATTGAAATAAACAAAAAACAGTGTTTTCGTTGACTATGATCCAAAAAACAGTGTGATCTAATTGTGATCCAAAAAATAAACAAAAAAACAGTGCTTTCGTTGTTTTCTGCATTTATTATTCTTGTGTTTTATTTTTCGCAGTCTTAGGCTAATATAGTTTGGTGTGACTTCTTAAATGTATTTTAGATAAAACGACAACTACACAGAGTAAAAAGAATAAGACATTAAACAGTTTATTCAATTGTGAGATCATAATATGGAAAATACAACATAAGGTTAATGTCTTAAGTATCAACTTCAAGAAGAAACCAATTCAAACTAACAATAATCTCCTAAACTAGACTATCCACGGGACCATGTTGTAGAAATCAAGACAAACTGGGCACTAAGGTGAGACGTGAAAACACCCGATCCCATTCCGACCCTGGTTTTGTCCAATGCCAGTTGCTCCGGCCTACTCCTCATTCTCACCTGAGACTCACACTGAAACATTTAATGAGCATAACTCAGTAACTAAAAAATAGACAAAATAAACAAAGACTTCAGTTAAAGGCTTTAAGCAGTATGTCTGCTATATGAGAATAATTGTGCTATATGACTGACATGTATGCCTCAATTAAAAAGAAGAAGAAATCAAAATCCTTTTATATTTTACCCTTTCTTTCCTTGCTCAAATCCTCGGTACTCCCCTCATGGAAGACAATGCTGTAAACCACTTGAACAAGTATACATTCCTTCAAACCTTTAAAATTTTGGCATGGTCCTTTCACCATGAACCGTTCCTTTTACCTTTCATTGTATTTTTCTACCATAGGCATTTCCGTAGGTCCTGAAATCATTTTAACAAATTCCAAAATCATTTCCGAAAATTCCCTATTACGGCGAAAACATTTACTAGTTTCTATCAATAAGAAATC